ATAATACATAAGATATGACTTGCACACTTATTTTTTTTTTATAGTATTATATTGTGGGATATATATTGATAATGTTCACTAATGATAGTAGTTGTTTGCCAAAATTGGTTATATATCGATTTTACTCATAATCGATCGTTATCGTTTGAAAATTAACCAGATATATATCGATTATTATCATAATCGATGATAATCGGCAGGGGGATTATAATCGATATATATCTATAGGGTTAGTAATCAATATATATCTCTATATAAATTTTGCTGATGAAGATCTATAATCTGAATGTTATTAATTTAAAAATTATATAAAAACAAAAAGGTGAGTAATGCAAAAAACATAATTTAGTTAGAAATAGTAAATTTAGAATACTAGAGTAAAATCAGATATAGGTTTTCTTACAAAATAGTTTAATGACAATGCTTTACCAAAGTGCTAAATATCCTGATTGCAAGTGTTGGCCTCAATTATAGCATATGAGTGGTGCAACAAGATATGTCTAGGCACCATTAAAAACAACCAGGTAAATATCAGAATGCTAAGTTGGGTTCATATAACCTGTAATTATAGGCTATAAAATAAATCAATAATCATATAATATATACTCAATAAGGTCACCGGCTTTCCTGCCAAGTTTTTTTAAAAAAAAACTTATAAAGCATTAGAATGTATATTTAAAATTTAAAATATTATTTGCTTCTAACTTAATTTTGATTAAAATACTTTTTTTATAAATTTATATATAAATCTGGGTGCAAATTTATTTAACCAATAAGTACGACATTTTGAACCTCTGCAAGAAAAGATGTTTCATGTCTAATATAACAAATAAAACCATTTTCGAACTCTAATTATATACATAAATAATTCAATATAGTAGATTGATAATTTAAGTTTTTAATTATTAAGTTATAATGAATATCTTGGTGTTTTTTAAAATAATTTGCTATTAAGAATGCTAATCGACCTTTGGTGATTTTGAGCTTAATCGAATTTCAAAGTTTTTTATGAGTCGTTTAACTCTATAATTATTTAAAACAGATAAATCATTGATCTTTTTTTTTGGCGTAAACTGTGTAATTTAAGACAATATGGTTATCTAAATGTCCAATATTTGAAATATATGATGTATATGTGCATGAAATGTGCTTTATTACTGAAATGATATTTAGATTTGCGTAATGAAAAGAAAATATTATATAGCTATGAATAAAATTGATATTTGTCATGTGTAGATATTAATAAAACAACAATTGTAATTATTATTAAAATACTGATGACAAGATAATGCATTCCGTCAAATAGACCGCCTAGTAACTCCACAAATCCCTTAAAGAATAAACGTTATCTAAGGCATCAATATATTGAAAATCTTTTAAAATGCCTTTCTCATGATATCTGCGGATGATCATATCACACTTTAAAACTAATTTGCTCTCGTAAGGTAAATATATTGAAATTTTTTTCTTACCCACCCAGGATTCTAAAAAACTTTGTAACTCCATCGTGCTAAAAGCCCACCTAATATGCAAATTTAATATACTTAAATTCTTTGGTGCAGCATTTTTTAATAACTCGAATATCTGATTTCCTCCCAATAATAGTGTATCATCCATTTCTTCGATCGACTGTTCGTCATTGTAAATTTCTTTAAATGTTTGTATTTCATCTCTTGGACTACAGATTCGTATTGCTTCCAATTGATGACATGATTTTATCAGACCATAAAGATCTTCTATACAATCTTCATCCCACCAAACTGTAATAAATTTAAGAGTTGCATGCGATAAAGATAATGCTTTGATGTATCTTTTTATCTCAGCTGAACAAGATGGTGGGCTAATTAAATCCCAGTAAACTCTTTGAAACTTTGGGGGTATATTTTCAATAAAGCTTATATAAATGCTGAACGGAGTTGTTTCATCATGGAAAATATCAAGAATCTCAAGTTTTGGTATGCTAGTGAATGTCAATTGTTCTTTGTTAATAATTTCAGTTGATATATCAATTTGGAGAATTCTTAAATTTGTAAATGTTGAAAGAACTGTTGGTGCAATACACATGCTTTGTCGAAATTTAATATGTGTTAAAGAATTTGCTTGGGTTGACAATGCATATCCCATCCTTGGACAAGAACTAATATGATCCTCTGAGGATTCCATCACCAAAGAATTTAACCCCTTTTGCAATTTGATTAAAGCGATTAAACCTTCATTGTCCCGATCACAAGGATAAATACTAATTCTGAGAAGATTTCTTGATATTTGAGCCAATCCATAAAATAGTTCAGGAGATCTATCAGTATGACATTTCAATTCACGAAGTTTTTCTAGGCAGATCTCAGCACCCGGACAATAGGATAATGGAATTCTTGGTAGTACTAAATGTTTGAGGCAAGTTCTGGCCATAAACAACTTGTAAAATTCTTGTTCTACAAGAGTTTCTCTATAAGCTTTAGGTAGGTCAACATTGTTATCATCGTTGACCAATTCTCTTTTCATACAGTCGATTACTGTAGGTGATAGATATTGACAATATTTGATATAATTAAACAAGGGAGGTCGTGATATTTGTTGTGAAATCTCTATACCGTTTTTCATTAAAATTCGTTTTGATTCATCTGTTAGGCACGATAACAAAGTTCGCACGATAGCCGGCCAAGGAGTACGATCTATAAGGAGTTGCCTATTTTGCCACGGATTGCACCACAGTATCGGAACAACTCTTTCACACCAAAGCCTATTCACCAATAGGCATGAATACAATGATCCAGCATCATCGTGCAAATGTTGCAATATTCCATCAAGACATTCTGCCGGAGGTTGCAACATGTTTTTAATACTGAATGGTACAATGATTGATGTATAGAAATAATCTGTTAAATATTAAGTGAATTTTGTTAAAAACAAGTTAAAGTATCAAATAAACGTAATTCTCTTTATGCCAAAGCATTATTTAATTTTAATTTTACGCATCAAAAAACGAAGATTGGGTAAATAATTATTTAGTATAGAAAACTTTTGAGAACTTTTTAAATCGATTCGTTAACAAAATTTTCGTTTTAATAAGCAAGATATTTAAGAAAAAGAATCGAAAACCTACTTTAACTGTCTTAGTTTGGTTAACAATGCTCTTGATGGAATTATTATGTAGGCGAAATCATCACTTTCCAAATAAAATAGTTGAGATGCACAATGACTGCATATAAATTTTAACTTGTTCATTAAGATCGTCAATCAGTTGTACGTACGTGTGAGTACAGGAGTACTTAAATAGATCTTTTTTTGATGTTCTCATCATTTGTCCCTCCCAATGCAACAACGCCTGCGATGTATTATCGCATATAACCATACTAGTGCACTGTCAAACCCATTATAGCATTACTGTGCTACACTTAGTTACTAACTTCATTTTAGCAATTTAATAGCGGTAGATTGTATGATCATTATTGCTGTTACTCGCCTCTTAATCTTGTAATAGCTTGGTTAAAATGTAATGTTTTTTTTTGTATTAATTATACTAGAATTAGAGACAAACAGACAAATATATACATTTTTTTAAAAGCTAGTGAATCTTCAATATTGAAATGCATCAGTACGTAGCAATAATGTATCTATAGCAATATCAGTAACAAATTTCGAGTGGATAATAAGATGCATTCTTGGTGTAAAGTTGTGTGTGGTTTACTTGGGTAATAATAGTTTAGAGAAATGAATTTAATTACAAATTTTGAAACTTTGGAAGTAAAATTTCATTTTTGAGTAATATATTGAAAATCGATATTATATATATTAATATCATATTATAAGAGGTTCAAATTTAACAATAAACATAAATTTTTCTTTTTCCTTTTGTTTCAGGTTATAATAATTGTTAGAAACATAGTTTCGTCTATCATCAATTAAAATCTTAATGACGGAACGGCGAAGCTGGCAATAATAAACTAGAAAAAAGGTGGCAGAACTAGCAAAACTGGTGAACGATAATCAGGATCTCTGTTTAGTTCATTCGGTTAGTTCGAAATCCTCCTCCATTGACAAGTTACTTATTCGTCATTTCTCCCGAAGAAACAAACGACCTTGCTTATATATAAAATTTAAATCTATGTCCGGTTTGCGGGTCCACATGTAGACTCATGGGCAGAAATTCGTCTGATTGGCTAGTTTCGTAGATCAATTTGTAAATCTACATGTGATTATTAGCCAATCAA